GCCGGCTGAGGTCGGCGCAGTGTGGCCACACCAGCTCTGTCCCTGTGTGAGTGGACGCCGGCGGCCACCACGGGCAGCACAGGGCCTCAGCCTGGTGCTGGGAAGGGCGTGGGCGCACCTGGGAATGTGGGGCCGCTGCAGGGGCTCAGGGAGCTCTGAGGCACCAGGGAAAAGCCCAAGCGTAACAGCAGGATCCGAAAAGTGGGTCACAGCCCAGAGCAGGGAGGTGCTCGCAGCCTTCTTCAGGGAAGGGGCCAGAAATACCGTGTGCTGCCCTTGTCTGCCTCTGGTGGCCCAGGGCCTCAGCACTCAGCCTCCCTGCAGATCCTCCCAGACTTGGCTGGGCCTCAGGCAGTGCTTTGGTTTCACATCTTCCCCTCAGAAAGTACCACACTTGCCAGCTTCTGGGTGCACGTGCCTTCAGGAGACACCGACACAGGCAGAGCCGGCAGCAGGCGTTCAGGGACACGAAGGGGAGCTGATTTTGAGCTCCACACCTGCTCAAAACTGTCGCATGCGTTAAGCACCTAACTGCAGCAGCCCGAGGCAGGTGCCAGAGCAGACCAGAGCTCATAAATGTGTGGCCCCAGACACAGGCCAGCAAAGCAGTGGAGCCGACAGAAGTGGACCTAACAAAATGCATCAACAAATGTGGCAGATCAGAAAAGAACTGGGACATGAGAAAGGGACCTCTTGGTTTGAAGAGGACAACCATTGCCAATACCTGATGTTTTTCTTTGTACGAAAAATTTGTAGCGAGCACGATATTTTTCTCAGCAGACTAACACATATTTGCAATATAAATCTGCCACTTAACTCTAAGATATAGATATGGATTTGGAGAGGGAAACAAAGTATATTTAAAGAGTAAAGATAATCTGGCCTCCTATTAGGAAAAAAAAAATGCTAATTGTAGGCATTTTGTGAAAGGTTCTCAACAGATGAGCCATCAGAAGGCATGTCCAGAGCCTTCCTGTAGGGGAAGGCTGATCTATGATCGAGAAGGTCTTTTACCTCCTTGTACTAAATAGTTCCAATGATATGAAGCAAGTATATTCATTTCTTGTCACATGCTTTTGTTTGTCAAACCCTAGGCAGGGGCATCATGAGTGCAAAGCCAGCCTCAGCAACTTAGCAAGGCCCTAAGCAACTTAGCAAGACCGTATCTCTAAGTAAAATATAGAAAGGGCTGGGGATGTTGCTCAGTGGTTTAACACCCTGGGGTTCAATCTCCAGTACCCCCCCCAAAAAAAAAAAAGAAAAGAAAAAAGTGTTTTCCTTTTAGCTCCATGCCACCACAAAACATCCAATTTTATCAACCTCCCTCCTTCAGAAACTTCTAGAAACGTGTTAGAAGTATCTTGGAGCCACTCATTTCTCTCAGCTTCCTCACCCAGGAATCCTCTTGGAGGTTTTCTGACCAGAAATTTCAAGTCAGTTTGAGCTCTTCCAGTTAAAGAGAGCTTAGTGCCTCAGCAGAGAGACCATTTTATTCCAACACATCTCTTCTGGCAAGAAAGCGCTTCTTTATGTTGTGCCAATATTTACCTATTTGTTTTCACTCTTACCTTCTGTTTCTACACTTAAAAAAAAGCCACCGTCATTAGCACCCAGCAGCTCCTTAGATACTGAGGCATCTGCAGGTAGCCGCCCCTCTCTACTTCCAGTTACTGCGCGTCCGCAGCCATTTCTGTTATCCACATGACAGTCTCCAGATGTCTTGCTAACCCAGTATTTCACGTTTCAAGTAATCTTTGTCTAGATTAGAGAAGAATTTTCTTACTTCCCTGGCAAAGCTTTTCCGGTTACCTCTGGAATGTTTTAGCAAATGTGCTGTATGTGTGCCTTGTCTCTTTTATCAGAAACATGTCTACACAGAGAAAAGATGAATCGCCATTTATAGAAAAATAATTTCTCAGACTAGTCTCTCTCTTTTTAAAAAAAATATTTATTTTTTCGTTTTAGTTGGACATAACACCTTTATTTCACTTGTTTATTTTTGTATGTGGTGCTGAGGATCGAACCCAGGGTCTCGCACGTGCTAGGCGAGCACTCTACTGCTGAGCCACAACCCCAGGCCAGACTTAGTCTCTTAAGTAGCAATAAAATATTTTTCCTGTCTTTATTTTGTTTTGATTCTCACTGTTTCTTCCAATTGCTTTCTGACATGTCTTGTGCCTAGAACTCAAATTTTAGAAAATGTTTAATAGTCAGATGAGAGCTCTTGGCGGCGTGTTCAAATGTCGCTATGTGGATGATCAGGAACTGACATGCAGGGGACCTGGCTAGATATGGTGCGAGGCCTGAGTGCCCCAGACAGCTGTGCAGCAGTGGCCACTTTCTGGCAGACCATCTACCTCCTGCTTATAACACCTGCTTTGATCCCTTATGCATTTTTTGAGTGAAAAATCTCCATACAAATTGAACTAGAAGAACAATGGTTCTGTTCCAAGAGAACAATGCAGAGGAAAAGACTGGGAAAGAGGATTAGTCTGTGTCCCCAGAGACCTTGTCTGTCCCTAATGCTCATGAGAGGCCACTGGGACACCATCCTGACTCTGTCAAAGCCCATGGGGAGCAAGAGTGGGGACATGCACCCCAAGGCCCATGAAAATACATGGAATTGTCTGGAATTACATAGGTATACTCGTTAAAAGAAAAATCTTATCTTAGAACAATGTAACTCTAGGCTTTAGAGTTTCAGAAATATGCTCTCTTGGCTGGGAATCCCTTTAAAATTCCCAGAATGTGAGCTTTCCTTACAGTGGAACTTTATTGTTAGGATGTAGATAGAACCATTCCCAAACCCCTCCAGTACCTGGTAGGTAATTAGAACCAGGATTCACACGGTGAACACAGACCAGTCTTAGATCACCTCAGTTTATATCATATATTCATATTTCACATTATATCACATGCATATCAAGTGGTATTCTGCAAAGTATCTTCAATTCAAACTTTAACCCCAAAGAATGGTTACAACCCATTTTATTTTCTCTTCTTCTGAAACAGATGCTTCCAGCCCCTTTCTGATGATGCAGGGGTACCACTTCCACCTGTCACAAAGTGCCTGGGCACACTCCCACCACCTTCCCAGCTGAAATTTAAGGACTCTTAAAGGGATTCCCAGCCAAGAGAGCATTTTTTTCTCTGGTGAAAATTTTCATTGTATACTTTTACATTTAGGACCCACTCAAAAGACCTACAAGAATAGGAATTATTTGTCTGTTTTTGGTTATATGGGTAACTATGGACCACTGACAATGACTTAGCAAATAAGAATCACTTTGGCTATCTAAAATTGGATCTGAAATTGACATTTATCCCATCTTACTCTTGTGGAGGCATCTTGACCAGAGAACATAACTTCATGTTAATGAAATTAATTGGAAGTTAAGAACAGAAATTCTATGCAATCCTCCTTCTAGCAAGTGCCTTTTGAAAAGGAGCACACATGTTGTTTCTGGGTATATCCAAAAACTCCCTGTAATTGCCTAAGTTCTTTGAGAAAGTTTTCAAATTAAACATAGACAAATTATTAAGAACATGACCTTGAGAGTCCTCTAGAATATAAATTTAAATCGTGGGTTTTCCACTTATCCCCTTGAGCAAAGGGGATAATAGCTACACTTTAACTATATGCCAAAAATTACATGCTAATTGTAACATGCTTAGAACACAGAATAAACATGACAAATGATTGATTATTCTTGCTATTGTTATCTAGAACTTTTAATCTCTTAGTGTCCATGGAACTCTAAACCATTGATGTTTCCCTAGCACACAATGGGCAAAATGTTATCCGAGTAACAGAAAAACCTAGAAACAAAAAAAAAAAACAAAAGCCATCACTGCCAAGGACCCAAGACAAGGCTGAATTTCAGTGATTCATCCCTTTGGTGGATACTGTGGCCAATGTTTATTCCAATTTAAATTGGGGTTATTTTTATGTAAGGAAAAAGTCATCTTTCCCAATTAATATTTCTCTGAATAGCTACCAAAAACCAAAGAAAAATGAAGACAGACTCCTTTCACATCACATTCAATTAGATAAACACCAAACAGCCAAGGCGTGGTGTCACACGCCTTTAATCCCAGTGACTGGACTCCGGAGGGAGGCTGAGGCAGGAGGAGTGCAAATTCCAGGCCAGTTTCAACAATTTAGCAAGCAACTCAGAGAAACCCTGTCTCAAAACACACACGCACACACAAATAAAAAGGGCTAGGGATGTGGCTCAGTGGTGTGGCACCCCTGGGTTTGATCCCTAGGACCAAAACCAAAACCAAAACAAAACACAGATCCAAGATTGACGTGGATAACATAACCTCTAAACAGGTGACACTGTGGCTTTGACGAGGTTTCCCTCCTCCTAACCTCACCACGGCATGTCATTTCTGATCTATGTTGAGTGTTTCCGGTCTTCCAAGGAGGTTTTTTCTGCATCTGATGTGAGTCATCCATGTAAATGCCCCTGTCTTCCTGTTCTGCGCCTCAGAGGTGCGAGCCAGGCCAGCAGACGGTGCTTCTGCAGCCGGAGCCCTTCTTTAAGGACCTTGGCGCCATCTAGTGTCCGATAGAGGCGTCAACGGTATGTCGCGGTCCAGGGAATCACTAGCCACCTTGCTCACTGCAGTAAATAGCTACAGTTTATCCACAGGGTCATTCTGCCTTTTCCCCTATATATCCCTGGGTTTGAAAACTTCACTAAATCCACTGTTGTCCAAAGACACTCATCTGGTAAACCAAATGCCAGAATTCACCTTGCACATTAGTAAGTTAGTAAGTGCTCAATCGCTGACTGTTTTCTCCTACTGCAGAAATTTGTTGCTCCGCTCTTATCGCATGCAGCTGCCACTGTGTAAATATGCTTTCTGGAAATGAGGTTTCCTTATGATCCACTTGAAACCACAGCGTGCTGCTCGCAGTACAGCATGTCCTTTACTGTAGGCAGAGCTCTTGTCACCCCGCCATATTTTTTATTCTTTTTTTTTTTTTTCAGATTGTCTACAAAGCCTGGCTCTGTTCCCAGTATTTTGAAGTCACACAGTTTAACTGCAGAAAGACAATTCCTTGCAAGCAATACTGTTTGGAGGTTCAGACAAGGTGTCCGTTTATACTGCCCGACAATGATGAAGTCATCTACGGAGGCCTCTCCAGTTTCATCTGCACAGGTAGGAGCGGGCCTGCTCTGCCCGGTGTCTCTCGGGGTTCCTTCTTTTGTGATGTTTCCTTGCTTTGCTGCTTCCTCCCACTCATACAGCCTTTGAAGATGCAGCTGGTAATTTTCCATGCTTGCCCAGGTAGAGGCACAGAAAGCACCGCCCTCCCATGATCTGAACACTGTTCAGTGTTTATGCTCCACTGTCTATGCTACCACTGAGTCCACAGTCATGAACTCTGAGAGGATAATTCTGCAGGGAACATGTTAGCAATAGTGAGACACTTACATGTGACTAGGAGTGGGCTGGATTCTGCCTGCATTTTCTCTACATTATATAAGAACAGATGATGGGGAAAGACCGTTAAGGTGATGCTTCTCCAAATTAGCATGTTTATGTCTCCTTGTCTATTTTCTGAGAACTTTATGTTATCTTAAGTATCAGTAGCATAACATATCTGCATAAGTTATTATGTATGTCGGTTTGTGTGTTAGAGCTGCACAAGTGCCAGATACAATTTGAGTTTATATTTCCCATTAACAATGTTTACTTGTTTCCGTGGAGGGCTGAGAGGGGGAGAAACACCAGCAACTGCATGCATTTTCTGGATATTTATAAGCATTATATAACTCAGAGTAAGATGCAAAGGACAAAAGTGGTTCATTTTTGACAATAACATTGAGAACGAGATATTTGGCCAGAGTGAAGTGAAAATCCAAGTTGTTTCTCTGTATTTTGTTATAGTTGGAAAACATAATATCCTTGTAACTACATGTCTTGACTCATACCACGTCTAGTTTTCAAGTTTTAAGGATAAAACACTATGGTAAGTGTAGACAAACATGGAAACCCTATTCTTATCTTAGATTTTAGGAAACTCCTCTTAAACACAGTGACATATTGAGATGCAAATGTGAAATCCATCAAATTATTTCCAGATCTCTTGTGCATTAGCCATATTGTTCTAAGTGCAAGTGACAAGCCAGCAAGAGACAGCCCTGCAGTTCTCCTCCTAAGACCTGCCTGGAGGAATGGACAGGTGTCTCATGTCATCCTGGGGGGAAGGACCCCTGGCTGTAGGTGAGGAGATGTGGGCTGCTCTTTCTCTCATGCATTCTTCCTGTGACACTACCCTTCCTAGCACATCAGCAATAGCAATCACCCTTCCCAACCCATGCCAGTTTGCTCTAAGGGTCACAGATGAGAAGAGCACCCAACAACACAGATTGGCAAATGCCCTTGTATCCAAGATGGTGATCTTTGAAATGTCAAATGGTTTAGCAGTTGTTCTTGTTATTCTACAGATTTGATGCTTAGATCATTTTTTATGTTCCTTCTCTGTTGGGGAGAAAATGAGAAAAGAGAGAGAGGGGAGAGAGAAGGAGAGGGAGGGAGGGAGGAAGGAAGGAAGGAAGGGAGGGAGGGAGGGAGGGAGGGAGGAAGAAGAAGGAAACCAACATCTTTCCTCCCCCCCCCTTACAAAATTATCTTCTTGCCTTCTGAGATAAATTTCACCAGGCACAGGCAATTTTCAATTTATCTTGAGGTTTACATGGAACTTCCCATTAACAACTGTCAAAATTTGTGGCCCTTAGTTATTGACTATGGGCCAGGGAGGTGTCAGCGGTGCTAGGACTTTGGGGAAAGGCACGGTGTCTTGTGGAATGCTGTCTGCTGTCATGGGCACGCATGTGGCTTTCTCCTGCAGAAGGTCGGCAGCCTGCACCTGGTTCTTAATGTGGACACTAGCCCAGGCGGGGGTGTAGGTGATGCTGTTTATCCTCAATTGTCTCCTCATCTTCATCCATATCTGTGGATCTCAAAGATGCACTTGGACGTTAACTTCCTTTCTCAGACTTTCAAGGCCAACAGAAAGGGAAAGTCAGGATTGCATTTCCCTCCACACAACGTGGGCCAGAGCACACCTAGTATTTTTAATTGTTTTTAAGTTTTGTAAAAACTTCCTCTCCATAATCACATTGTTAAGGAACCCCACAGGAAGAGAGAGCTGTGTGGCTGGCTCAGGACACAGTGCCTCCTTCATCTCCATGGAAGGCCACCAGGGCTCTGCTCTAGGAGCCTCTGGGACCTTGCTGTTCTTCCTCCACTCTCCATGTGGCTTCATTACTGAGCCATTAGAGCTGCACGGTCAATGCCGCATGCATATTGCCCTGAAGTTCTGTGAAAGTCTTGGACAGGAAAGATCATGTTTTCAGACTGGTTGTTGAGAGCCACAGCCGAAGGGGCCCCAGCAAACTTCCAGCTGCCAGCAAACTTCCAGCTGCCAGTTGATGATTGGCTCACAGCGGCCCCAGCAAACTTCTAGCAATGTGTTTTTATCTTTGTGTGCTAATAATACATCATCCATATAGTGAAATATTTGTAGTTCAGGATTTTGATTTCTAAGTGGCTGGATTACTTTGTTAACATAAATTTGACACATAGTTGGGCTGTTAGCCATCCCTTGAGAGAGTACTTTCCACTCATATCTCTGCTCAGGACCTTCATGATTCAGTGCAGGGATAGTAAATGCAAAACGTGGACTATCCTCAGGATGAATTGGAATTGAAAAAAAAACAATCTTTAATATCTATAACTAAAACATACCAAGTTTTTGGCAAAGCAGACAATTGAGGAATCCCCGATTGAGCAGGTCCCATAATAACCATCTCATTATTAATGGCTCCTAAATCTTGCAATAATCTCCATTTACCAGATTTCTTTTTGATGACAAAAATGGGAGTATTATGGGGAGATACAGAAGGTTGTATATGTCCTTCCGCTAATTGTTGTTTGACCAGGTCATGGGCTGCTTGTATCTTTTCTTTAGTCAGGGGCCACTGAGGAACCCATACTGGTCTTTCTGATTTCCAAGTAATTTTTATTGTCTCAATGGCCCTTTCTGAAAATCCAACCCATGTCTGTCCGTTCCTTGATCTATTTGTATTGGTGCTGCTATACCTTGTTCTTGTTTTTCTAATCTTTTTCCTTTCCTAAAACCTTGTCTAGCCAGAATAGTGGGTGCATTTTGGTTGATGTTATTTGTTAATGTCAAACCTAATTGATCTAGGACATCTCGTCCCCATAAATTTATGGGAAGATGATCCAATACATATGGCTGTATAGTTCCTTCACATCCTTCAGGATCCTTCCAATCTAATACCATTGCACTTCTATGGGGATTAGTCGCCACTCCTAGGCCTTGAAGCGTTTGAGTGGCTTGTTGTAATGGCCAATGTTTTGGCCATTCTTGATGAAAGATGATGCTAAGGTCTGCAACTATATCCAGTAGCCCATTAAATTCATGTCCTTGAATATTTAGTTTTAGCATGGGGCGAGAATCTAAATTTAAAGAAAGCATAACCCAGTCTACACCTGTGGAGCCTAATCCCTTGGAACCTCTTTCTACAGCACAACTGGAAAATTTATCATGTAGGCTGGGTATTATTAGTAACTGTGCTATTCTCTCTCCTGGTGAAATTACTGATATACCCTTTGGAGAACTGGCTATAATTTTTATTTCACCTTCATAATCGGGATCAATTACCCCAGGACTTATCATAAGTCCTTTTAGAGTAGAAGAGCTGCATCCCAATAATAAGCCTACTGTTCCTTTGGGAAGAGGTCCTTTTACCCCTGTGGGAATGATCTGAACTCCCATCTCTGGAGTTAGTACTGATCTGGCGGAGGCGCAGATGTCCAACCCTGCGCTCCCTCTGGTTTGTCTGATGAGGGATCTGATGGACAATGTGTCCTGGGCACTACCCTGATGGGGTTGCTGGGTTCCTCCAGTGCTCCGTATATTTGTGGTTTGGGGCCCCGGAGCATTGGGCCCCCCTGTCCATTTTTTGGCAACGGAGCCTGATGCCTTTCTCCACGATATCGTGGATAAACACCTGGTCCTTGTTCGTTTTTTGATAAAGGAGTACCCTCTATGGTGGTTTGAGAACGGCATTCATTAGCCCAATGTCTCCCTCTACGGCATCGTGGGCAAATACCCGGTATTCTACTCCTTTGATACCTAGTTTTGTTAAACCCTCCTCCTATGGGGCAATTCCTTTTAAAATGTCCTGTTTGTTCACAATTGTAGCATGTTCTTGGCCTGGCATCTAAAGCCTGTTTTACTGCAGCTGCCACGACTTGCTCTTGTTCATTAATGTCTCTACATAATTTAATATATGTGTTTAAATCTTCATGTTTCCATGGTCTAATGACTTCTCTGCACCAACGATTTGCTTGGTCATAAGCCAGTTGTTTTATTAATGGCATTGCTTGTTCTGTATTCCCAAAAACTCTGGTAGCTGTTTGAATAAGCCTATCTACAAATTCAGCGTAAGGTTCATTAGCTCCTTGTATTACCTTAGATAATTGACCTTGTAAACCTCCATGTCCTTGTAAAGTCTTCCATGCCCTAACCGCCTCTGCATCTTCTTTCCTGGAGATGGCCAGGCCTCTGGAGATTCTGTGACCACACAGGATCATATCGTCTCCCCAGGGTCTGGGGGTGTCCCTGATGAGTGCTCCTCTGTGCACTGCTACCTTGCCAAATGCATGAGGGTCCCCAGAGAACAGCTTCAGCTTGGAAGAAATCAGCTCAGAGATGCAGCAGGGCTGGCTGGAGGAGCACCCTGTGCTCAGCATTCGTCCCAAACTCCAAGTCGCACATTTTTCAGAGGTTCCTCTTCTTAGTGTGCTCAAAGGCTGGGCTACCTGGTCTTCTAAGTATGTGTGGAGGGAGCATGAGCCATTGTAGGCTCCTTAGTGCACATTGAGGGAATCATCTTCCAAACCGACCAAAGAGCAGACTCAACACAGGGGAACAATCTTCCCCACTCCCAGCTAGCTGCTGACATCCCAGGCCACCTGGATGGTGGCTCATGGCAGCATGGCCTACGCACCAGCAGTAGCCCCTTCACTAAACCAGGCTCTGTGGCAGCCATCAAACACGTCCCACACATCCCAGGAGGAGGAGTGTGTCAAGCTAATCTTAATCTTTGCCTCTGGTAATTTTT